TCCATATGTTTACCCAACAACGTAATGAAATTTATGGGGAACCATAAGGAAGTACATGACCATCTATGCAATAGATTATTCAATGGAGTGATAGGGTGCCTCACCTACCAATTGTAGCCAAAGATCATTATGACACCTATATGCAATACGAGACATGAAGAAGTAGATGTTTATTTAGGGTATTCATGGGATGTTAATCCTACTTATGATGTGAGTCTTGAAACAATGGTGACTAATACTTCAATATTGAAATGGAATTGATTTTCGATGCTTGAAAATTATTAGAAGAATCAAAAATAGTTTTGCAATCAAACGTCTAAGGGTTCATGTATTGTTAGTAAACTTTTATGAGGAATCATTTCTTAAAAGGTAGAAGGAAAATTTACAGACGAATGTTGAATTAAGATAATTGTAAAGTGATTCAGTTTTATTGAAAAATGGAGATATTCTTATAAAGGAATACACTACAACGTTCTTGGGGTGCATATACTTTGTCTGACCTTTGAATTTCCATTTTCTAGTCAAAGTTAATACACCCTTTCATGCAACTACTCATTCGAAAGAAAACGGTTGAAAAGTCAACGGTCAATATAATGAGAAACTCACCTGAATCGAAGACCCAAGCAAACACAACAATACACTCACTCCCTGCAGTAATCTCTCTCTACGAACCGACTAGCACAAAACAAAGGTATAACCTTAATCAATAACCATATTCCTTCAAGTTTGACCAAAAAGTCAAATTGATCAAAAAGTCAACGGTAAATAAAAGACAATGGTCAACCCTCACCATGACATAGGGGACTCTTCGCTACGTCGTGGGAACTTCCAGAAAAAACAACCGCGAGACCCACCTATGCCATGACATGACAGACATATCATCATGTCATGGAAATTGAATTTGGACAACTTGATGGATTAACCCCTCAATCCATTAAGCCACACACTCAACTCCTCCAGAAGGCTTCCTTACACCCAAAGAGTCATGAAAATTGTTGATTTATTGTCATGCATGTCCAATGTATGTATTTACCCAAGCTAATTCATAACAATGGAGGAAATGAGGTCATAAATCTCATGTATGAGCCAAAACTTAACCAAATCTCAGATCTGGAACACTAAACCTCGAAGGGACCTTAAGGATCCATAAAGTTGCCAAATTTATGGAATCCTTCCACTTAACCTTTCTCCAACATGGAGGGAATGCACAGAAATTTTAGATCTATGAGCATAGATCTTCAGCCAAGATGTTTTCTTTTGTTGAGGTTCTGGCACTTCTTCCTCCGGCCCTCTATTTACATAGCGAAGAAAGGCAAAGGCTCTTGCTCGAATGTGTGACTTATGTCACTTTTTCCATTTATAAAAAGTAAGATGAATCTACGCTCCTTAGCCTATAGTAAGTGAATGAGAGGGTATGGGGTTCCGAGTCTTTTTCCAGTCAAAATTGACTAATAGGCAATCCCCTTTTTCTGTGATAATGTGAAAGGACTCAATTCCTTATTTCTTCCCCAGCGAAATGTAGCAGGAACAACCTTCCCGCAGTCGCATTAAGGATATTTTTTCTTGAAACTCTTTACTCCCGTAGCAAGTACTCATTTCTATTTAGTTGTTTTCTTACTCTATCCGGCTATTGAACCTGGTTTCCCTATGCATATGCTAATAGAGAGTTAGACAGTTTAGAGAGCTCCTCAAAGGGCTAGTTCTCACTCTGTTTTGGGGACCCCCAAGACTCTCTTTCCCCTAGTCTATATAGGTCCAATCTCATCTGCTAGCGCTTCTTCGTTGCTTGGTCGGGATACATCCATTGATTTCTTTTCGGGCTTGCAAGTGACTTACTTCTTTTGCCCGTTCTTACTGTCTTAAGTCATCCTCTTTTCTTTAGAAGCTGTTAACTTATTTCCTGCCTGCCCTAAGGCTAAGGGGAGAACTGCATGTACTAATAGTTTATAATCACTTTTATTTCCTAACAATGTTATTTATAATTTATAAGAACCTATAATGCATTCTTTTAAACTTTCAACCTATCTAAACCATAAGGACCATTTATGAAATTTTGTCCGCTCAAATTTTAGAGGTGAAAGGGTAAATACGGCATTCTCAATCTCCATCCTTTATACCACAAACCCTAGCAGATCTGTTGGCAGCCTTACTTTTCTAATAAAACCCTTCTCCCCATCCCCTCTCCCCTGCTTCCTCTGCCTCCAATCTCCACCGCCGTAATCTTTCCCTGCAGCAATGGTACTCTCTTTAACACTCAAATCACACAATGACCGAATAACTTTTATATTAGATATAAACCGTTGATAATATTGTCTGTTTTGGATGATGATCTTGATGAATGAAATAAATTGCAGGCGTCAGAGAGGAAGCTAGCAAACCCAATGAGGGAGATTAAGGTTCAGAAACTCGTCCTCAACATCTCCGTCGGTGAGAGCGGGGATCGTCTCACTCGCGCTGCCAAGGTCTACTCTCTCTCTCTCTCTCTCTCTCTATCCACTTCGATAACTCTTCTAATCTTCATTGTTCTGATTAATGGTAATTAGGTTTTGGAGCAACTAAGTGGCCAATCCCCCGTCTTTTCCAAGGGTAAGTTGCATATCACAATCTACCATTACTCACATTATTCATAACATTAACTTCAATTAGGTATCCATAATTATTGTTGCTAGATTTTGGCTTTGTTTTTAGACTTATATTGTTTAGAATTCATACTCATAGATTAATCAGTGAATCCTTAAGCTAAAATTCGAACAGTGTTATTGACTTTTTCACTCCAAATTTATAAATAAAACTGATTATGTACACTACAGCAAGGTACACTGTGAGGTCATTTGGGATTAGGCGTAATGAGAAGATTGCTTGTTATGTGACTGTTAGAGGAGACAAGGCAATGCAGCTTCTTGAGAGTGGATTGAAAGTGAAGGAGTATGAGCTTCTCAGACGCAACTTTAGTGACACTGGTTGCTTTGGATTTGGTATTCAAGAACATATTGATCTTGGAATCAAGTAAGTCATTTTTAATAAAAATATTTAATAGTTTTCACTAATATTAAGTAGAGTTAGGATGCTATTTGTGGTTATAAAACATATAAAAGTATACTTATAACCCTAATGTTTGATGTAATTGCAGGTATGATCCCTCCACTGGTATTTATGGAATGGACTTCTTTGTGGTTCTAGAGCGGCCGGGTTACCGTGTGGGCCGTAGGCGTAGGTGCAAGGCGCGTGTTGGAATCCAGCATAGAGTTACAAAGGATGATGCAATGAAGTGGTTTCAAGTGAAATATGAGGGAGTTATTCTCAACAAATCTCAACAGATTGGGGCATAATTGTCTTTTTATTTACTAGTCTTTTTTGGTTATATTGTATTGTGCCAGAGATTTAATTATTATTGCTTTTGTGTTTTGTACTTGCTGAATCTTAATAGCAGTGAGAATATGAAACCCACCAAGTTTTGGTTTTGATTGGATTTTTTTTGGGATTAGGGTTTCTGTTGCGTTTTTTTTTTTTTGAAAAAGACAAGTAAAATTGTTACATAAAGACTCTTAAGTTTCCTCATTTTTTGTGTTTAAATCTGAACATCTAAATTCTTTTCAAGAGAACAATAAAAAGTGAGGGTTTGGTAAGTTTAGTGTTATTTTTAGGTTATAACGTTGGGTTTCTTGCTTAGTTAGATTTTTTTTTTTTATTTATTTTTATTTATTTTTATTTCACTAAATATCTAAGAATTATTATTATTATTATTTTCTAAAATCGTAACATTTTGATATAATTTTGTTTAAAACCTAGTTGCTATTCAATGGTAATCGATGGTGATTTTTTTTGGTCTGAACTCTGAACTATTTTAAGTACCAAACCTAAATTGAATTAGAAAATAAAGAAAAATATGTAAATTAAAAGACACTTTCATGGATTGATAGGTGGGAAATTGACCTTTTCTTTTTCGATTTGTCGTTTGGTCCTTCTCACATAACACATCATTAGTATTTAGTAACACTTGATTATCTGTTTTCTTTGTAGAAAATCCAAGACAATATATACTTTATACATATTTGTAAATTTTTATCAACTATCTTAAAACAATTTTAGAATTAAAGTTCGTATCTTACAAACATAACAAGCACAAAACAATTTTACACATTTTTTCATCCACTCAGGTCCGACCCATACGGTGGGCAATCCAGACAGTGGTTCAAGGTCCGTGTTTCTAAAAACCCAAATTTTTTAAAGTATATGGTATATATATATAAAAAAAATGAACTTACCTAGAAATGCTATTAGTTGTTTTTGTAATGCTGTAATCATATTTGTGTTTTTTAATATTATTAGTGAATTTTACGACGGTATGTTTTTTTTCGATTTTTTTTTTTATATTTATGATTTTTAAGGATCTATTTTTTTTATTCATTGCCCACTGTATCTTTGGATCGACTCTCGATCCACCATTATGCTTTAGCCTAAATGATACTATAACGATTAATGAGTACCTAACTCGACAACATAACCATTGTTAAATTAATATTGTCAATAGAGGCGACTGATGTGAAACGCCATTCTCTTATCCATTGTTTGAAAGAAGGTGGGCATGCATGTGGATTAGCCGATGGGGCAGCAATTTCAAAAAAAAAAAAAAAGATTTTTGGAATCGGTCTTATCATTTCCAAACAAACAATAGGAACCTGAAGTGGTCTTAGATAAACAGTTATACTTGTAATTTTCTGATTACATAATTGTATCTTCATAACATATACTAATTATATCGTTTTATTTAGTTCAACTCAATTTAAACCACATAAACTATTCACCTCAAAACATTTGACAAAATAATTATTTGATGAGGAAACGTTAACTATTCAGATTTCACAAGGACGAATATACATTTTTATTGAAACTATAGGGGGAAGAACTGAAAAAGTAAACTTGTTGCTTATTCAGATTTCAGAGCAATAGAATCTCAAGCTTCTTCCTGAATTGGGCGTACAAGAGTAGCGATGCTGTTAATGACCAAAGCCACAACGTTCTCATCATGGGTCTCTCCAGATCTCCATATACGAAATCAAAAACATCTTCTTCACCATAAAAATGTCAAACCAACTTTAAGATCTTTACAATTTCTATCTCAAAGCTTCAACACTTTATACTGTACACGAATTCCCGCTACTTTAACACTGACTACAACCTCTAATCATCAAGTTACAGATTACAATGCTGGAATTTTCAGATTCTGTGAAATGGGTAATCTACAAAAGGCGATGGATTTGGTTTGTAAATCTGAAGAAATTGATTCCAAGACGTACTGTCACATCCTACAGCTTTGCGCGGAGTCAAAGGCTCTGCACCATGGCAAGACAGTTCATAATTTGATATGTTCGAGGGGAATTGAACTTGATTCCGTTCTGGGTTCAAAGCTCGTGTTTATGTATGTGACCTGTGGGGATGTGAGAGAAGGGAGGCGGATTTTCGATAAAATCGAGAAACATCACGTTTTTCTTTGGAACTTTATGATGAACGCGTATGCAAAGATGGGTGATTATGAGGAGACTGTATCTTTGTTCAGAATAATGCAGGAAGTGGGTGTCGAACCTGATTCTTACACATTTTCTTGTTTATTTAAATGCTTTGCAGCTCTTGGGAATGAAAATTTCGGGGAAAGTATCCATGGTTATGTTCTAAAGCTGGGGTTTGGACTTGATTGTACTGTGGTGAACTCCATGATTGCTCTTTACTTCAAGCGTGGAAACATTGATAATGCACGGAAGCTGTTCGATCATTTGCCTGAACGAGATGTGATTACTTGGAATACAATGATAAACGGATATGTAGCCAACAGTCTTCCAGAAACAGCCTTTGAGGTCTTCAAGAACATGCTTTATTCTACAGTTAGCATGGATTCGGCTACAATGGTTAGTGCTGTTGCAGCATGTGCAAGCATGAGTTTCCTTACTTTAGGCCAAACAATTCATGCTTTTGCAGTGAAAAGTGAATTCAACAAGGAAACAAAATTTAACAACACCTTACTTGATATGTATTCAAAATGTGGTGACATGGATGCTGCACTTCAAGTATTCAAAAACATGAATGAAAGTAGTGTTGTTTCATGGACTTCATTAATTGCAGGATATACAAGAAAAGGTGAATCCCATAAAGCAATCGAGTTATTCCTCAACATGAAAAAGAAAGGTGTGAAACCCGATACTTTCACAGTCACAAGCATCCTTCATGCTTGTGCTTCAAATGGTTCACTAGAAAAAGGCAAAGAAGTTCACAATTACATCAAAGAAAACCAAATCCAATCTTTAGCAGTTTCTAATGCTCTTATGGACATGTATGCAAAATGTGGTAGCATGGATGATTCATATCATGTTTTCTCTGAAACCCCTTTTAAAGATATTGTCTCATGGAACACAATGATTGGAGGCTACTCAAAAAATTCTCTTCCAAGTGAAGCACTTACTTTATTTACCAAAATGCAAAGTGAAATCAAACCTGATAACATAACAATGACATGCATCCTTCCCGCATGTGCCAGCCTGGCATCTTTAAACAAAGGCCGAGAAATCCACACACATGTTTTAAAAAAAGGGTTTTCTTCAGATCAATTTGTCATCAATGCACTTATTGACATGTACATGAAATGTGGAGCTTTACTTTTAGCAAAATCACTCTTTGAAATAACCAAAATCAAGAATCTTGTCACATGGACAATCATGATTGCAGGGTATGCCATGCATGGATTTGGACATGAAGCTTTATCAACCTTCAAAAGGATGCGTGAAAATAATGAAAAGGGTAAAAGAGGAATTGAACCTAATGAAGCTTCGTTTACTTCTATACTACACGCGTGTAGCCATTCAGGGTTGCTCAAAGAAGGTCAAGAATTTTACAAAATCATGGTGAATGAGTTCAAGATTGAACCCAAGTTAGAGCATTACGCATCTATGGTGGATCTTCTTTCTAAAACAGGAAAGTTATCAGAAGCATATAAGTTCATCAAAAAGATGCCTGTTAAACCTAACTCCACAATATGGGGAGCATTACTTTGTGGTTGTAGGTTTCACCATGATGTGAAACTAGCCGAAAAAGTTGCAGAAGAAATTTTCGAATTAGAACCAGAAAACACAGGAAACTATCTACTTTTGGCTAATATATATTCAGAGGCTGAGAAATGGGAGGAAGTGAAGGTGTTAAGAGATAGAGTTAGTAAACGGGGTTTGAAAAAGAATGTAGGGTGTAGTTGGATAGAGATTAAGGGTGAAGTTTATATATTTGTTGGAGGAGATAAAGAGAATCCAGAGGCTAAAAAGATTGAATCTTTATTGGATAAGTTGAAAATGGAGATGAAGAAAGATGGATGTTTAGATAGAGTAAAATATGGATTGGTTGATGAAGATATGGAGAAAGAAGTTAAGGTTTGTGGGCATAGTGAGAAGCTTGCAATGGGTTTTGGGATACTGAAGTTGGCTCATGGTAGGACAATACGGGTGAGTAAGAATATGAGAGTATGTTGGGAGTGTCATGAAATGGCGAAATTTGTTTCCAAGAATGTTGGGAGGCAGATTGTGTTGAGAGATTCGAATAGGTTTCATCATTTTAAGGATGGGTTTTGTTCTTGTAGAGGTTACTGGTGAATTGATAAAAAAATGTTTAACTATCATTTGTGTATTTAGATGGAATTATTGGTATAAATAGTGATTTGAATCACTTGATTTCAATCTTTTAATCACATAGGAACTAAATTGTTGACCATAAGCTCCTTGTTCGATCCTTACTCTTTGCTAAAATAGTTGATTTAAGGTTATTTTTGTTCTCTCCATGAATGCGATCAAATTTTCGCACAGTTACATTGGAGCTATTGCGCTTAACACAATTCTTTGTTTGATTCGTAAATTGTTTTTGACGATTTTTTTTTCATTTAGTTTATCATTAAGTTCTTTTTTCTTTTTACAATTTCTTTCATGTTTTCTTTGTAGTCTCGTAGTCTTTTCATGCATACGGGTAACTCGGGATGTAACGTTCTAAATTTCAACATGAAATTTTCATTTAAAGTTTAAAGGAAAACTTAAATAATTTCATTCTCAAGGGAGTAATTAACAATTTATTTCAAACATCATCAAATCAAAGTTATAAGAGCGTAGAAAATCTATAAAACATAATCACAGATGCGGTACAATCATGCCGCACCCTTCTCTTTGCTACTAGAAGCAGCAACACCTGAAACAATTTAAAATTTAAAGTGTAAACATAAAACTTAGTTAGTTCTCCAAGATACCACATACAACATACATATAATGGGCCTCACCTAACATATATGTTTCCAACATGCATGCCTCATCCAATGACTATATAAGCACGCTTCACCCAATAAAAATATAACATTCATGCAAGTGAAAAAAGAGAGGAATTAGGTTGTAAATTTGAATGATCCAATTTTATTTGGAAGACAAAGAAGTATGAGAAAGAGGAGTCGCGGGAGAAAAGATGGAATATTCTATCAACTTCACTATTTTAGTTATTTTCATTTTATTTTAGTTTAGTGTTTGTTCTTTTTTCGATAAATTCCTGAAAAAAAGAGGGTACAAGGCCTTTTGTTCTTCTTAGCATCTGTTATTTTGGCACAAATATTTTTGGTTCTTAAAAAGAAACAGTTCGAGAAGGTTCAATTGTCCGAAATGAATTTCTAGACTCGCGGATTTATCGACCTCAAGTTTGTAAAATGAACCAATTTTTTTTTTAGTAATTATGATTATCTATGATAAAAAATATTTCACAAAGACAACAAACATTTCAAAGACTCCTAGTATCTTATAGTAGAGTGAGAAGACTCACCTGAATCTCACGGCCAAATCCGACTAATCAACGTCTTAACAAATCGGCTACATGCACTGGTCAAACAAAATACAAACTAAACCCCAATCAGCTAACCTACAAGTTTGACTCAAAAGTTAAACGGGTCAAAAAGGCAAAAAGTCAACGGTCAACAACATGCGTGTTGTGAACGTTGACCCGGTCGCGTCACAGAACACAAAAGTCAAACATAGACAACAATTATATAACATTCAAGTTTAACCGCTTATAAGGCCAAAACTCAATGCATGGTCTAAGGACAAGCATGCATAAACATTTTTCCGACACTAAGTAAGTCCAGAAGTTGATTAATTCGCTCAAATGGTTCTGGAGTTCTCCAAGATCAAATAACACCATTAAAGGGACCAAAATGACACCACAAAACAATCTAAAACCTAGATCTAGCATCAAATAAATATAAAGGTGGAAGCTTTGCATCATACTAAGGTCCAGAAGTTGATTGGGCGAAGATGAACTCTTGGGAAAACAACTTACAAACACGAAATGACCTTTCTTCTCTATAATATTCCAAATAAAGCTTCCAAGATCATCAAAACTTGCAACGAAAGAAGAAAGGACAATATAAAGGCTAGGGTTTACTCCAATGAGGCTCTTTGAGGTGATGGGGGCAAAAAATAAAGCTTGGGTTGCACCAGCATTCATGCTATGACACCCTATGTGTCGTGCCGTGATTGGCCTGGTCTAATAAGGCCCAAACATCATAAGCCCAAATCGATACCAACCCAAAACTAACCCTTTAAATCAAAAGCCTTATACTTTTAGCCCAAAATCTCATTCTTTTAAGGCCCAAACCTTATTAAAGCCCGAGAGCTTCTCATAACTAAATTAAAGTCCGCCATTCCTAAATAAGAAGCATCCCGAAACCGGATGTTACACATGACGATCTTCCATTGTCATTTGACATGGAAATTGAGAGATCTACACTTGAAAAACCACTATTTGTCACCATTCTACTCAAATCCAATTTTGAGGATCTTGGGAAAGCAATTATTAACAACAAATCAACAAGATAAAAAGTTAATCCTATTTTGAGGATTGTGAAAAATTAATTATTAACAACAAATCAACAAAAGAAAAGGTTTTTTTTAAAGGATCCATCGATACGATGGCGGGATGAAGGACCATGGACTATTATGTACGACATGGACTATTATGGACAATTGTGCATTCTATTAATGATATTTAATCATGCATCTTACATTCAACAACTAAAGCATCCAATTTAAAAATCACTTATGCATATTATTTAAATGGTGCTTCTTCAATCATGCATCTTACATCCAACATTTGAAGCATCCAATTTTGAAATTAAGACATATATTATTCAAATAGTGAGAAACAACACATAACTTGTTAGGTTACACAATACAGACCCAACACGCATGTCACAATTTTTTTGGAATTATGTTACATGTTCAAAGTTCATACGATATCGGAAGATGCCATTCATCTCCGAATATTCATGTTCTCTTTTCTTTGCAACATCATTTTATCCTTGCCCACTAACTCCATCTCCATGTGGGCGATGCTAGCCGAAAAGTTCTTAAAGAAACATTTTCAACCGCAATGGCCATCATGTTAATTAATGACATTACCTCATGTAAAATGGAGGAGGAAGAATCACATTATGAGGCATGGGAGAGATATCAAGAACTACTCCAATGATGCTCTCATCATGATCTCTCACTATGAAGATAAGCTCAAATCCTTTACAATGGTTTGGATATGCAAAATCAACAAGCCATTTATGTGGCAGCCACATGTTCCCCGATGAATAAAACATCCAAAGAGGAACATGAACTCATTGAAGAAATGGCCACGGACAAAAATCCTATTCCTACTATCATATTAAAAACAAGAGCAAGCATGTTCTATTCTAGAGTGAATAAAAAATGATATTGTGATCGAGGTACTTTTGCAAATGAGAAAATTGACAACCGATGTTAAGAATCTAAAACAAAAGCCTCCCATACGATCCCAATTTGATCATTATGTGATGAGTGATGACTAATACAAGAGTACAGACTATAAGAAGCACAACATGTTTTTACATGATGATGATAACATCGGGGAGTAAGAGGTATACTATTCTTCCCACGATCATGCCTATATAAAATAAGAAACTCAATTTTTTTTTATATATAATCATCACAACACAATCAATACAAAAACCAACACAATAATGAGTGTTGAAGGAATAACAATTCAGGCTCAAACTGGAGAAGCAAAAACAATTTGGGTTCAAACTATACAAAACCTTAGATAAATTCAAAATATACAAAGCCGTGGTGGAATTGCAATTGGGCATTCCGATTAAATATCTTAGGACTGATAAGGGAGGTGAATATATGGATCCCATATACTTCCAATCAGTGGGTATCACTCATGAGACCACGATACCTTACACACCCCAATAGAATGGTATTGTTGAACGTAAAAATAGAGTTTTAAAGGAAATGGTAAACTCGATGTTGTCATACTCGGGATTGAGTGAAGGATTCTGGGGAGAGGCCATGTTAACGACCTGCTATTTATTAAATAGGGTTCCAAATAAAAGGAACAAAATAGTCCCATATGAACTTTTGTTCAAGAAAAAGCCGAATCTAAGTTATTTTCGGGTTTAGGGATACCGGGCAGTTGTAAAACTCACCGAGCCCATAAAGAAAATTTTGGGAGAACATGGAATTAATTGTATATTCATTGGATATGATGAACATTCCAAGGCATATAGGTTTTATTTAATATAACCTAATGATTCGGTTTCGATCAACACTGTTATCAAATCACAGGATGCAATTTTTGATTAGATGCAGTTTTCATCGATTCAAAGGCCCAAGGATCTCACCTTTGGTGCTAATAAAGAGAAAAATTCAGAAATTCAAGATGTTGGTAATGTGAAAGAACCAAAAGAGCTTCGTAGAAGCAAAATATGCCAAATTACGAAAAACTTCAGATCCAACTTCCAACTGTATTTCATGGAAGGTTCAAGGGATGAAATTAATCTTGAATACTCTTATTGCTATAACATTGAAGATGATCCTAAGACTTATCAATAGGCCATGGAGTCTCATAATAGTGCCTTTTGGAAGGAAGAAATTGATGATGAAATGTCATCAATTCTTGAGAGCAACACATGGGTGTTGTCTGATTTGCGTCCAGGTTCTAAACCACTTGGTTGCAAATGGATTTTCAAAAAGAAAATGAATGTTCTACTATGAGTACTCCTATGGATCCAAGTGTGAAACTAATGCCAAATAATGGTGTTCCCATTTCACAGTTGGAATAATTTAAGGCTATTGGTAGCTTGATATATGCCATGCCAAGTACCAAACCTAATATTGCTTTTGCCATGGGTAAATTGAGCGGGTACACTAGTAATCCCAGTGCTCAACATCGGCAAGCAGTAAATAGAGTGTTTAAGTATCTCAAGGGAACCATGAATTATGGTTTGAGTTACTTGGGGAATCCTTCGGTTTTAGAAAGTCATTCGGATGCAAGTTGGATAACCAACATGGAGGACCATTCCTCAACTTCTGGCTGGGTATTCTTGCTTGGGGGAGGTGACATTTCTTGGGCTTCTAAGAAGCAATCTTACATTACAAAATCGACAATGGAATCTGAGTTTGTTGCGTTAGTAGCTGCTGGTAAAGAAGCAGAGTGGCTAAAGAATTTAGTCTATGAAATTCCTTTGTGGTCTAAAACGATTACACCTATTTCTATCTTTGTGATAGTAAATCCGCTTTGGCTAAGGCATATAGCCAGG